AAAAAGAAATCAACCAATAACAAGTGCTGGAGGGGCTGTGATCCATAAAGAAGGATAAACTGGAGACTTTCACAGGTAATGGATGCAACTTGAGACCATACTCGTAAGTGAAATAAATCAGACACGTGTAAACATCGTATTGTCTCCCGGGTGTGAGAAACTGAGAGTAAAGAAGGTCTAGAATGTACAATAGATATTGTGAAATGGGAAGGAATTGTTTAAAAGGAAAAAGGAACTGAGGAGGGAAGGGGAAAGGAAGGGAGGGAAAAGGGAGAAAAATGCAAGGCAGCTGTACTATTACTGTCTTCTAGTTCATTGAAAAGGAAGGTTTGTGCTTATATCGATTGGAGAATTTTTTACGCCCATATCTTGAACTCTGAGTAACTACTTTGAAGATGACAATATGCAATGTATTAACCATTGTTATTCTCCTATTATTTTATGAAATTGTTTTTTAACTTTTTTCAATAAAAAAAATGTGCTAAAGGGTCTCATTGAATTACTGAATTACCCAGGCAGAGCTCCAATTTATGACCCTCCGGCCTCAGCTTCCTGGAGTGCTAGGATCACAGGCACATGCCACTGCTGGCTTGACCCTGTTGTTATGTATTCACTGGATATGAACCAGCTCTCAAGCTTTAGAGAGTATCACAGTCTGCAGTGAACTCACTAAGAGGATCCCTGGCTTTATGACCAGATCCTGATTGAGTAGGTCTCAGATCTGCCTGTGAATAAGTAACCCAGTTAATGATGTGATTGGAGCAGAGGTTCTGAGAGCTGAGCTCTTTGTCTGTACGTAAAAGGAGACAGCCCAGAGAAGTAGTAGAGGTGGCTCACAGAATGGCCCTGTCATTCCCTTGGAACTCACAACGAACAAGCACAGTTTTAGGCACTGGATATAAACTAGTGATAAGAGAAACATGCAAGTCTATTGGGAGAAACGAGTTTTTAAAAATCAAGTGAAAAATCAGCAGGTGATAAGTGCTCTGCTGAGAACTGGACTAATAATGCGATCTGGCGCCTGGAGGCCACTTTCCATTTGTCGGTTGGAGAGGTCCTTTCTGAGATTTTAACCTGCAATCTAAATTCTCCGCAGGGGGCAGCCCTAGAAGATCATGGGGAGGAGCATTCCAAGCAGAAATAAAGGCAGGGCATCTGGACGTGGTGGTGCACACCTGTAATCCCAGCACTTGGGAGGCTGAGGCAGGAGGATCATGCATTCAGAGCTAGCCTGGGCTGCATAGTGAGCTCAAGCGTAGCCTGAACTACATAGGAGGACCCTGTCAAAAAAAAGGAAAGAAAGAAACAAACACAGGCTAGGACAAAAGCCTCGAGTTGGACACAAGCTTGTTTTGCTCAGTGACAGCTATGAAGGTCAGTGTAGCGGCAAGGAAGCAGAAGGGAGGAAAGGCTGGAGGGGAAGTTAGTGGGACAGGCAGGGACCACGTCTAAGTCTTACAAAAAAGGAGCATTTTTTTCAGTACTGGGATTGAACTCAAGGCTTTTACACCGAGCTACATCCCTAGCACGTTCTTACGTTTGTGACAGGATCTCACTAAGTTGCCTAGGCTGGCCTAACCCTTCAGTCCTCCCACGCTGGCCTCCCAGAGCGCTGGGGTCACAGCTGTGCACCGCTGTGCCCAGCAGAGAAGGGAAATGTTAACGTAAGTGCAGTGAGAGCTGTTGGAGGGAGTTAAGCAGGAAAATGAGACTCTCTTATTTGCGCTGTGACCCACACATACGAATCTGGAGTAGAGCAGTTAAGATAAGCGGTCTGTGACCATATTTACCAGTATGGGTGAATTCCACGAACATGATATTATTGAGGAAAAGAAGCCAAGACGGCCGAGGATATAGCTCAGAGGCACAAGTGCCTGCCTGGCAAGCGCAACGTCCTGAGTTAGATTCCCGGTACCAAAAAAAAAAAAAAAAAAAAAAAAAAGCTAAGACGCAAGCTGGGCATGGTGGTGCACTCCTGTAATCTCAGCACTCGGGATGCTGAGGCAGGAGGATTGCCACAAGTTAGAGCCCAGCCTGGCCTACATAGTGAGACCCTGTCTCAAAAATCAAAACAAAACAAAGAAGCCAAAAGATATATTTTACGATGGAAATCCAGCCCAAATGAGTCTGATGTCTCCTCCCCGTGGGGCCGGGGAGAGTGACCGAGAGAGGCTTCTGGGTGACGAGTTCCTTTGTCTGGGTTCTGCCTGCACAGAGGTGTTCAGTTTGTGAGATTCGCTGGCTTTGACTCATGGACTCTTCCACATGTTGTGTGTTGTTAAAAGTGTGTTACTGCAGACGATGTATGAATGGCCAAGAAGCCCATGAAAATATGCTCACCACCCTTCGTCCTCAGGGAAACGCAACAAAAACAAAAACGCCTCTCCCGGTCCTCGAGGACGGCTCTCGCAGAAACAGGGAGGGGGGTACGTAACAAGAGTTGGGACACGTGTGGCGCAGTAGCACCTTTGCACTTTGCTGGTGGGAATGTACTTGAAGTGGTGTGACTTCTGTAGAAAACGGTGGCGTTTTCTACGGAACGCCACTGTGACCCAGCAGTTCTCATAGGTGTCTGCCCGGAGAACTGCAAACTGGTGTTGAAAGAGATACTCAACCCTGAATGTTTCGGAAAGTCCTTCACAGTAAACAGAGTGGAAACAACTGAAATGCCTGTCACCTAAGGAATGCAGAAACAGAACGTGGCTTCTGCACATGAAAGTACTCATCTAGCAGAGGAGCGGGTGCAAGCTGCACTCTGAAGGGACTCCCGAAGCAACTCGCTAGGTGGAAGAAGCCAGAAACAAAAGATCGCCTGCAACTGTATTACTCTGCTCTGTGAAATCTCTAGAATAGATAAATCCAGAGACAGGAAGATTCGCGGTCGCCAGAGGCCCAGGGGCAGGGAGGCGGAGGAGTGGTTGCTTAATGGGTGTGGGTTACATTTTAGGATGATAGTGTGTTCTGGATGCCATTTAATTGTGCCCTTTAAGAAAGTTAATTTTATATTGTGTAGATTTTACCTCAATAAAAACATTTTCCGACTTAAAAAGAAAGCCCATTTTAAAAGATGTGATCATGCGTAGTGCACGCATGGCTGTAATATCGGCATTTAGGAGACTGAGGATAAATGTGAGGCCAGCCTGGACTACACAGCAAGACCCTGAATCAGTCAGTCAGTCAGTCAGTCAACACCCTTTGTGCTCTAAAATTGTTTTGTTCTGTTGTGATTTTGATTTTTGAGACAGAGCCTCATTGCACATAGTCCAGGCAGACCTTGAACTCACTGTGTAGTCCACGCTGGCCTCAAAATCACGTGAATCTCCTGCCTCAGCTTCAAGAGCGCTGCGATTACAGATGTGCACCACCACACCTCACTTGTGCTACCCTAAAATGTTCACAAGGTTTTATCGGGAACCTCCCCACCTGCCTCACACCGTGGTGTGCGGCCGCCTCACCTCCTGTGTCCGTCCCTCCGCAGAGGACCCGCTTCCCACAGAGAGCCGGCTCGCGAACAGCTGCATCCAGGCCAGGAAGAAGTGCGAGGCTGATGCTGCGTGCAAGGCCGCCTACCGGCGGCTGGGTTCCTGCGCCTTGGGGCTGAGCAGCCCGCCCCCCTCCGAGGAGCCATCCGGCCTCGCAGACTGCCTCGAGGCCGCGCAGCAGCTCCGGAACAGCTCCCTGCTGGGCTGCTCCTGCCACCGGCGCATGAAACACCAAGCCGCCTGCCTGGACATCTACTGGACTGTCCACTCTGCCCGCGGCCTGGGTGAGGCCCCTGCCCCAGACTAAGCTGGGAAGATGTCTCTGGGGGGATTTTATTCTTTTTTTTTTTTTGTCTTTTTGAGGCAGGTACTCACTATGCAGTTCAGGCTGGCCTTGAGCTTACTTTGTAGCCCAGGCTGGTCTTGAACTGGCAATAATCCTCCTGCCTCAGCCTCCCGAGTGCTGGGATTACAGGCGTGCGCCACCACGCCCGGCTCTGGGGGGATTTTAATCCTCCTGGGTCACGTGGTGGAGTCCGATGGGAATGAGGATGAAGGGCTCCCTTGGGCATCAGTGAGCAAGGCAGGGAAGAGGCGGGACCTCCAGCCACGGCCTCTCCCTGCGCTCCCCTCAGCTCCCTCTTGGCAGCGCTGCCAGGCGGAGCCCAGCAGGAGTTCTGGGGACAGAGGAGGATGGGAAGAAGAGGGTGCCAGGGCCTTAACTCGTAAATAGGCCCCAAAATACCATGTGACCCACAAGTTCTGAGAGATGAGGGTGCAGCCTCTCAGGCCAGCCTTTTGCAGAAAGGAGATGGTGAACCAGGCCACCACAGCAAGAAAGAGGGGCCACTTCCCCCGACTCTTTCCACAGGTCCCTGCCCCTTAGCCACCTTCACTGGACCAGGACTTGGTTACAAAACAGGCTGCAGAGTGCAGGTTTAGGCCTTACCCGTCGGGTTCTATGTTGACTGTTTCCTGTTTCTTCTTCATTCTGGGATCCAGGGTGAGTTCAAGGACAGCCCGAACTACACAGGGAGACCCTGTCTCCAAAACAAAAAAAAAAAAGAAAGGGAGTGTATATAATCTTACAGGGAGGGCAAAGAATACTTGGAAACAGTAATACAATCTACCATACTTCACCACTTCATCAAAATATATGTTTCCTACACTTGATCTTAGCCAAAAGGCGGAGAAGCGATAAAATATATGTTTCCTTCCCTTCCACAAGTAAATGCATTCCCCTTCCCAAGGACATGCCCTACAAGTTCTGTCCAGACAGCATCCAGCTCCGAGTCTAGGACCTCATGATCATTTCCATATGGAGTATGACACCTGAAAACCTATCAGCTGAAAAGACAAGTCTGCCTTGCCTCGGCCTCGGGTAACCAAACGCTTGCAGAAGGCAGAGGAATGGGAGGCACACCACAGACACGGATTCACAATTCCTTCTTCTTTCTTTCTATTTATTTATTTATGTATTTCAGATAGGGTCTCACTGTGAAATTCAGGCTGGTTTTAAACTGACTATGTCGGAGCTGGGAGTGGTGGCGCACGCCTGTAATCACAGCACTCAGGAGGCTGAGGCAGGAGAATCGTTGCGAGTTCGAGGCCAGCCTGGGCTGCAGAGTGAGCTCAAGGTCAGCCTGAACTGCATAGAGAGACCCTGTCTCTAAACAAAACAAAACAAAACTGACTAGCCCGGGCTGGTGTTGAACTCCCCATGACCCTCCTGCCTCAGCCTCTTGAGTGCTGGGATCTTGTGTCCAGCCTGATTCACAGCAGTCCTGGTAGGCAGGGACTGAACCTAGGGCCTTGCACATGCTGAGCATGTGCTCTACCACTAGCCTACACACCCAGCCCCTTCACAGCAGTTTTGAAATCCGTCTAGGCTGCAGTTGTAAGGACCTTCTTCCCTAGGAATAGGGATTGGGTTTTTTTGTTTTGTTTTGTTTTTGTCTTTTTCAGACAAGGTCTCACTATACAGTTCAGGCTGGCCTTGAGCTCACTTTGTAGCCCAGGCTGGTCTCGAACTCGCAACAATCCTCCTGCCTCAGCCTCCCGAGTGCTGAGATTACTGGTGTGCGGGTGTGCGCCACCATGCCCGGCTGTTTCATTATTCTCTTTGGCCACATTTGAAAAGGGGATTGGAGACTACAACCTCCTTAGGGACTGAGGAGCAATCTCAGCCTGTTTCCTGTCTGAGGATCGTGGGGCGTTTCAGGTCTCAAATAGTCACAGTCTAGACCTTTCATTCAGATTGGCAGCTCTTAGAAGTACAACTCTCTCAAAACATAATTGCTAGGGGCTGGGGATTTAGCTCAGTGGCAAAAGCGCCTGCCTGGCAAGCGCAAGGTCGTGAGTTCGGTTCCCGGTACCGGAGAAAAAC